CTCCAGCAGGCAGGGCACAGGACCCCTTCCCCCCACCCCCCCCCCGGGAGATAAAGCTCTTTTTCCAGCCAAGCAAGTGAAACCAGCACTTTCAGAGCATCGAGCTGCAGCCCTGCCTTTGCCCCCGATGAGGAAGAGTTTGACAGGAGCATTGACGGGCGCTAACGCAGAGGAGCGCCTCCTCTGTGTGCATCAACTCACCTATGAGTTTCTCCAAAGCTGGAGGGATGTGTTCAGTGCTGGCAGACTGTCAAAAGAGAAGAGAGACAAGCTGTCTTAGCAGGGTGAGAGCTTAAGGGCATCATCTAAAGTAGCCAAGGACTATCTGTGATAGTGGCTAATTCTGGGTGTTCGAGGGGAGCTGCAAAGTGCTAAGAAATATACAGGGAGAGAGACCTCGCAGCATTCAAACATAGAATCACAGAATCACAGAACGGTTTGGGTTGGAAGGAACCTTAAAGATCATCTAGTTCCAACCCCCTGCTGCGGGCAGGGATACCCTCCACTAGACCACGTTGCCCAAAGCCTCATCCAACCTGACGTCCAGATATATCAGTCTCCAAGAAACACGAGGGCATCCAGATATATCAGTCACCAATAGAGCAGTCCCCTGCAGCAATAAGCAACCCCACTTCCACTGGCGTGGCAGACATTTAAATACCACCAGCCTGCCCCTCGGGGAGTTTTGCACCACCTGAGCATCTTTGACCCAACTTTAAGTTTTTCTTTTTTTTCCTGTTTCCCCGGAGCCGCTGTGACCGGCCAGGCAGACCTCACCTCCCTGAGTTCAGCCAGTTCCTTCTCCAGGTGGAAAATCTGAAACATGCTCAGCCCCACTCCAGTGAGGGCCAGCAGGATCAGCAAGGAGGTCACCAGGAAGCCGACGCTCCTCCTTTCCCTGTTGTTCCTTGGCTTTCTCCTCCGGTCGGGTACCGGTGGTGGGAAAGGAGCGGCAGGAGGTGCCGGGGGGCAGGAAGTACTTGCGTTGGTACAGCCGTCCATCCAAAAGATCTGTGGGTACATGTAGTTCAAGTTCTGCTGCATGGCTGGAAGCGGGATGGGCTGGACACGCTTGGCACGATCTTCCACATGGCAGCCAAAAACTGCCGGGGCTGTCCCAGACTGATCCCTGGGGGAAGACCCAGCTCTGCCTTTATACGCCTGCATACTCCAGCAGCGAACACCCAGCTCAGACGCTGCAACTCTATGAAAGCCTCAAGCATCAACAGCAAACCCCAAAGAGCTTCCGCCCTCGGCTACAAGTTCGGGGCACCCGTCTGCTCCTCCCACACCACGCTCGGCGGCCGGGCTGGGGAAGCAGGTGTGTTCAGCAGCCAAGCGCTGGAGGCACGCGAGGGCTGCGCTGCCAGTCGGGGGCTGAGTAATCAGCCTCGCGCACACCCACCAGCCAACCACCCTTTCCAGCAGCCCACTCGGGCAGAGGCGGCTGCTTTTCCACTGCGGTGTCCTAGACCGCAAGCAGAGGGAATGAGAAAACCTGTCCTGCTTCTAGCACCCTGCACAAGAGAGGAGAGGCAGAGCCGAGGACTCCTCGCCACAGCAGAAGGATGAAGAGCTGATCCCAAGTACAGCTGCGGGCGCTGGGGAATTGCTTCATTTCACGCAGGACAAATTACTTACCGCTCTCTGTTGCGCATCCCGCCTTTTCCTTGGCTGCTTCGTAGGGCACGGATCCTGTGTCACAGAACACCGGTCACAGACACTGTCCAACCGTGATAAAAGCCAACCTAACCAGAAGAGGAAGACATTGTCAGTGCTGCAGCCTCAGCAGAGCTGCCCCAGGCGAGTAGAGCCAGCTCAGAGGGCTGCCTGCCGCCTCACCGAATCGCTGCAGGACGCCGGCCAGGCTGGGCCAGCAGTGCGCTGTAACGCGGGAAACACACGGTGCCTTGGGGCACGAGCAGGCTCTACTGACAGCTCCTGCTGCCCTCTTATCTTTGCAAATACTATCTCCAATCCCACAGTCCTCTTCTAACCTGACAGGGACATTTCCATTCCTCAATTTCCGATTTCTCAATTTCCATTCCTCATTGACCGCAGATTTTTAAGTGGTGGCAATGAGACTTTCCCACAGATTTACAGGTGCACGCAAGCGATAAGCAGCAGTTTGCTCTTCGATTTTGCAAACCTACGTTGAAGCGCGTATTTTTACAGGCTAGTATTTAAAAAAGGAAGCGCTTAATACAAGAATACACTGGAGATTTGTCACCTCTGTGGCTGAAGGAAATGATCCGAACACACAGGCTTTGATCTTGAACATCAAAACTGGGGTCTGAGAACAGCATGCTTTAACAACATATGCACACTTATTTCTCCAAAGCAAGGGCTCGGCTTTGTCTCCAACCGCACCAATAAGTCAGACGTGTCCTCAAAGCCTTGCTTGCACTCCACTGCTTTTTGAAGACATTCACCACAGCCGTTTGCTGCAGCAGTGATGTGCAGCGTGAGAGGATTCAGCAACCCGTCTGGCTCTTCCTCGTACTTCTAGGTTTCTGACAAAAGACACAAAATAAACACAAATCCAGCTCCCACAGTTGAAGTCTGTTCATGCCTACCCTCCCTCGGTCCTGCTTTCCGCATCCCAGAACGGCGCTCCCCGGCCAGCCCCAGGACAGGTCCTCATCCACTCCCGCGGTCATTACAAGAGAGGGGCACGCGAAGGGCTGGGCTCAGCTCCACACCTCCCACGCCACGAGTGAACTCCAACCTGCTAGCCAGCGCCAGGCATGGAGAAAGAGGGATGCCTCCAGGGCACCGGGAGCCAAGAGAGGCAGCAGGATGGTCGGGCGTCTCCTGCCAGCACCCCGCCTGCACAGCCCCCCAGCCCTGCTGCTGCCACGGGCACCTGAGCCACGCGTGGGGGGACTCGCCACCCACTCGGGCTCCTCGCTCAGCATCCTTTCCCAGCAGCAGTGCCTGCGCCCCCTTATCTCAGAGCGGTGAGCACAGCGTGGCCCTGGCTCTCTGCGACACGAACGTGGGTGTCAGGGAGTTCCCGTTTCTTTAATGCCCTCTGTGGCCCGTTCAACTGCTGTAAAAGACAACGACGGCTCAGGGAGCAGGGGCTGAAGCCCGGGACTTCCTCAAAGTTGGAGGCGTTGCTGACAAGCATGTCGGAAGCCATCAAGCACACAGCTTTGCCTGGAGAGGATCCACTCTCAAGTTTTTTCTGACGCTGTGTTTAATGCAGACAGCTTCTCACAGTGGGATTGCAGGCAAAGTAGCAGTCTCCCTACGTGTCAGAAGTGTACTTATTTCTCACCCATCGCTTCTTATTTTCACAAAGAAGCTTTTTGTATGGGTGAGTGAGAGGACAGAAATGATGAAGTCAGTGAAAGCCATTTCAGCCATGTCTGCTGCATCTTCTCTTTCGGATGCTCAGACCAAGAGCCTGCTAATACCGTGCATTGTGGCAAGCCAAAGAGTGGGGCTATTTTACTATCAAAGGATCATTTTTGGTGCACAGCATGTTTTCAGAGACCTCTCCTTTCCTAGCAGTCTTTTCTGTGCTGGTCCTGCTGTCACGCTCTTCGTTTCCTCCTTCAGAGATCACCAAGATGATACACGGTGGAAGACGGCGACAAATGAGCCTGGGTCTGCAGCACACCACGATGCCTGCAGGCTCTGTGTTCTGGCTTCCTATTACTTGAGCAACACACAGCGGTAACAGGGCTTTTGAAATACTAGTGGGACAATTTGCTGTTGGTAGACATCTAAGTTACGTGAATCTATTTTGCTAGAAGGCCAGAAGAATTTAGACAAGGTTGAACTCTCCTAAAATACGGGGCAAGGACAGCTGGGCAGGAAAGGAGGGCACAGGAAGAGCAAAAGGGGTGTCAGATTTGTCTCTGCCTCCCTATCCCCCTGTTCACCCAGTCTGCAAGATGCACGCTCTGTTTTCAGCAGCCTCATTATGGCATCTGAACAGGAGGAAATATTTTCAAATGGAAACACCTTCCATATCCCTTATCAGAGAATCGATGCCCTTTGCCAAAACCAAAGACAAGTCACAGTTACGCAGACAGAAAGAGAGGATTTGCTCAGAAGAACCCCCTCCATCCCCACCTCACCCCCAGAGGAGAGGTGGGAACTCTTATTAAAAATATACACCATTATGCTAAAGTTTATGTTGACAGCAGAGTCAGCCAGCATCTAAGAGTTTGTATCAGCAGATTTAAGGACAAAAGGATGACCTGCTTGAAGTACACCAAAGAAAGCAGAACTTGAACAATGAACTAGATCTAATACTTGACAGAAAATAAAATATTAAAAAAAAAAAATATAAGCATGAACCACTGTGTAGGAGAGGCTCTCATCATGTTCTGGACAGAGTCAGATATGTGTCTGTCTGAAAGTGATTAATATTTCCTATTACACTAGTGACTAGTGGAAATGCTAAAAAGCAACTACTGAAAGCCCACAAAGCTGCATAAATTACACCCAAGAACAACTGAAGCAGCAGTTAAGAATCATCCGCATTCAAAAAACCCCAGGATTCAAAACATCAACCCAAGATATTAACATATCGGCACGACCTTTGCGGTCCCAGGCTGAACCCTGCCATCAGAGCCAGAGGAGGCAACTTCTGAAACCCAGCAAGGACCAGCCCCAGCTGGCAGAAGAGATGGCACCCCTTAACGCTCACGGGTGGGTACGGTGGAAAGAGTAACTGAGAGCAGCATCCAGGACAAGGCTTCTGATTTTCCTCTGCGCACTGTCCTCAGCACAGTGCTATTTCAACACCTTTACCCCACAGCTGGAGAAAAACAAGCAAAATATTACACCAGTAATACTTGCAGATCAAAAGAACTGCTAAGAGATCCTAAGTAACCATGAGGACAGAAAATTTAATCAGAAGAAAACAAGTCTAGAAATAAAGAATGCAGATCAAACTCTTTAGATGGAAAATAACATCCTAGAAAGCAAACACAGCTCAATCTGACACAGAAGCTACCCAGCTGGACATGAGCTTCCAGCAGGGAAAGCCCACGGGCTCCCGTAGGTACGGGCTCACACAGAGCACGGACAGCTACAGACAGTCCCAGAACCCACATTGCAGGTTCATGTTCAGCTTCAGAGGAGCTCAGGAAGAAGTTCCAACAGCTGCCAGACAGCAAAGGCGTTCAACTTGGTCCGCTCGAGCAGATTGACAGGGTGGGACGGGATGGACAGCATGAGAAAAACCCGTATAGAGAGGGATGACTTCCAGCAGCAGAGGGGTCTTGGATCTCACAGAAAATTCCTTCCCAGGGAGCCACTAACCAGGAGTTTGTGCAAAGGAGTTTGTGCTGAAGGAGTTTGTGCAAAAAAAAGTCACGGGATTTGACTGAACGTCAGAGTGGATGCTTGTGAGAACTGCCTCCAAAGGCAGCAGGATCTCTATCCGCTGAAGCCTTCGAGGGGCACAGGAGACACCAGAACTCACCCCCAGCCTTTGCAGTCAGCGCTGACATCTCAGTCTTGTTTCTTTATTACATGGGTTCTTACCAGTTCAGTTTACCCAGACAAAGGTGATGCTTTTCATTTCCTCAACAACTGCTGTCTTTGCTAGAAGCATTTTCTTCTAGCATGTAGCCCCACATCTTGCTGCCAGCCGCTCACGAGGAAGACATTCAACATATTCACACTCAAGAACAGGTTTCAAAATCCATTTCTAACGGCTTTGGCCTGGCAGTGCTTAATACATCCACCTTCCAGTGAGCAGCGTGCTTTATTCTCTCCTTCACCATGCTCCCAGCAAGCAGGGAGCAGCCCGGGG